GCCCAACTTCTCCTCTTCTTCTTCCACGTCACCCTCTGCCTCTTCTTCTTCTTCTTCTTCTCCCTCCTCTTCCTCCGGTTACTTGGGTCTTCCTCTCGAGCTGGCCACCTCGGCCAGTTCTGGGATGGCGCCCTGGGCGAGTCTGTCACTGTCGAGTGCCGTTCAACTCAACAGCCTCGCATCGGCAGCTGTGGCTGCTCACAACCTTCTCGCCAACTCCGGCCTCGGACAATCGGCCTCGGCGACTGGCGACGCATCCGACTTGACCGTCGCCTTCGCTACAGCCTCGTCAGGCTCGACCTCAATTTGCCAAAGTGGCATCGTGTCGGCAACACCGTTGCCAGGTCCAGTGGAGGCGTCAGACTCCGAGGCGTTGTCGACAGTTGCCACGGAGACGCCGGAGCCGGCGACCACTTTGTCGCCACACGACGCCACGTGGTGCATGTCCGGTGGGCAACACGGAGCAACCAGGAACTATGGCCCAAACGCTGGTGACCGGATGACAGGTTGCTACATTCCATCGGAGGATCGGGCGACTAAGCGACTGACCAGCCTGACGACTGTGGACGAAGCCGTCGGAGTCTCGGCGACGACATCGATGACGACCAGCAAGTCGCCGGCCTACTGTACGCCAAATCCGGTACCAAACGTGCCGGAGAACAACCAAGTTCGCCTGATTGAGTTCCGTGGCGAGAGACTGGCAGCCTTCAGTGTGGAGGGACGAGAGTTGGTGTGTCTACCTCAGGCGTTTGAGCTCTTCCTCAAACACCTGGTCGGCGGACTGCACACGGTGTACACAAAACTGAAGCGACTCGAGATCATACCGATCGTGTGCAATGTGGAACAGGCAAGTGAATAGGCCATCTTTTTCCATATAACCCACTGCCTGACTGTGCTAATTTCCCACAGAGCCCCTATCGTAGACTGATTGCCACTGAATCGAAAATATTAGTCACACTACTATGATTTGGCTTCTGTATGCCGTTTACAATCACATAGCCTTCTTCCAAATAGATCTTCTTGTCTCAAATAAACTACAGTTTCAAAATCGTTTCGATATGACGCAAATGATCTGCTTTCAACCGCCGTTTGGGGAAGTTGAAACTCTCTTCCGGAAGGGGGATAAAAATCTTGCATGCAAGAATTAGTGAACTTCGTTGGCGTCGCGAGGTTTCCTTATCTCATACAACAAATGTGCACTATCATACCCTAAACATCTTCATTGGCTTTATCTGACTAAAGCTATTATTCCATACCTTAGGTTAGTTTCGAAACATGCTTGCATTTGAAATGATTTAACATACGCCTAACAAATACATACTGATGATAATCAGACATCTTCTTTCTTCCCACACACACACAAACTTATTTTACTATGATTTCAATTAATTAAGCTCTTAGCACGAAAGATGCACCGTTTACAATCACACAGCCTTCTTCCTAAAAGGTCTTCTCATCCCAAACAAACTACAGTTTCAACCTCGTTTCGGTATCTGAATCCCAGACGACATGTTCCCATTGAGCAAATGAGGCAAACTAATATTTATGTGAGATGTCGTCTCGAAACTCTACTTGCATACGCAAAAACTTGAATAAGTGTTTCAAAGCTATGCCTAAAGCTTGAATAAGAACTTAGGTTGCCCTAGACAGCTGAAATTGATTGTGTCGCGGAGTGCTAACATGTCGTCACCTGACGCAAATGAGCTGCTTTCAACCGCCGTTTGGGGAAGTTGGAACTCTCTTCCCGAAAAGGGGATGCGAGGTCTTCTTATCTCATACCAAAAATGTGCACTATCATACCATAAACATCTTCATTGGCTTTATCTAACGAAAGCTATCATTTCATACTTTAGGGTAGTTTCGAAACATGCTTGTATTTGAAATAATTCAAATTACGCCTAACAACTACATACTGATGATAATCAGGCATCTTCTCTGTTCACACACACACACACACAAACTTATTTTACTATGATGTCAATTAATTAAGCTCTTAGCACCCAAAATGCACCGTTTACAATCACACAGCCTTCTTCCCAAAAGGTATTCTCATCTCAAATAAACTACAGTTTCAACCTCGTTTCGGTGTCTGAATCCCAGACGACATGTTCCCATTGAGCAAATGAGGCAAACTAATATTTATGTGAGATGTCGTCTCGAAACTCTACTTGCATACGCAAAAACTTGAATAAGTATTTCAAAGATATGCCTAAAGCTTGAATAAGAAATTGGGTTACTGAAATTGATTGTGTCGCGGAGTGCTAACATGTCCTCACATGACGCAAATGATCTGCTTTCAACCGCCGTTTGTGGAAGTTGAAACTCTCTTCCCGAAGGGGGGATGTGAGGTCTTCTTATCGCATACAACAAATGTGCAAAATCATACCAGAAACATCTTCATTGCCTTTATCTGACTAAAGGGTAGTTTCGAAACATGCTTATATTTGAAATAATTCAACTTACGCCTAACAACTACATACTGATGATAATCAGGAATCTTCTCTCTTCACACCTACACACACACACACAAACTTATTTTACTATGATTTCAATTAATTAAGCTCTTAGCACCAAAAATGCCACATCATGATAACTAATTTAATCGAGGCTGAATAAAAACGGGAGACTAGTAATAAGCAAGTGAAGATATGGCGAGTGTAGATGTTGTAACCATGCCAGAAGTATACATTAGCATTGTTATTACTTGCCCAAAGGGTTGCTCGGCCTAGATGATAATCGCAGCTATCTAGTTTACATGCAAATTATCCGGATATCACCATGATATTTAGGGATATTATCGAATCTTGCTCTTTCAATAATACCATGAGTCAACTTAGGTCGCATAGCTGATGTAATTGTTGAGCTTACTTCCACTCGAAATGGAAGTAAGCTCAACAATTATGAAAAAAGAGATTCCTCCAAACCCAACTTTTCGTCGTATAGCTGCTGTAAGACTGATGGCCGAATTTCTCAAACGTTATTCATAAAAGGAGCTCTGGATGGCCTTGAAGCTTACTCATCCCTCTCTTCAAAGATGCCACTGAGTTACAGTACTTTCAAGACAAGCCAGACCCTATTCGAACAACATTTTATAATGGGACTGGTACCGAATGGACAAACTTGTGCTAGTCATCACAATCAAATGTGTACGTTTAAAAGCTATCTGAAGAGCATGAATATGAGCTACCTAAGTTGCAAGAACAGGTCTAGGTTCTCGTGAAGAAGGCTGATGAAAGCTGGTTGATTTAGAATTTGCATTTCGGAAATCAAGGCTATGCAAACTCGAATGGGGGTAGTGAGGCATATTCATTTTAATCTGAAAAATGCAACTATTAGCTTTCAACTTTTATAACCAACCTAAAGTGAATCGTGCTATTTTAAAGAACAGCTTGTAGTTGATCGTTTTTCTCAACATAAACATATTATCAAAATAGCTATGCTATATACAAAATGCATGAATAATTAATGGCGATAATGACTACAAGGTCTTAATCAACATTTTGATATTAAAGGTACTGAAATTTTCCCCCCCTCAAGCAGCCACCTTGGGCTTAACATGTTAAAGGTTGATCTTGGCGCCGTCGAATGGATGTATTACTTGATTTGGCCGCATATTTTAACTGTTATCGTTAAAAATTGAGCTTATTTTGGGTGGAAATCCAATTCTGGCATTCCGGGAAGAGTGAAACTTAGGCGTGGGCCTAAATCGAGTATCGATAAATGGTAAAACCTCATTTAAACAAGTTTATTTTAAAGTTTTAACCACATACAAAGTATAATAAGGTTGCTCCAAATTGCCTCTTGCATTGCTATGGTTATTGTCTCCTTTTAATAGACGTACTTGGGCAAGATCATTTTTATTGTCTTCAAATGGCTTTTTTTGTGTCGTCACGATGAACAATTCTAGCATTTTCATCTTTGCAAGTTCGTCGTTCTGATTATGGTCAGAACTATTAAGTGCAATTTTGTTACCACAACTAATGAATATAAATACATTTAGGAAAAGCAAGTGTTCGTATGGGACACTTTCTAAAGCATGGGATAAATTTATGTTTTTAGGTCAGAATTCTACGTGGTCTAGGCGCAATCCAGCCAGGAGTGAACCGATGCAAATTGATTGCTCCACACGAGTTCGATATTCTTTATGCCGACTGCACAAATTCTAGGTAAGTTGTGAAATGATGCAAATAAAAAATAAGTTATCACTATATGCTCTTTATTACAAATAATCTACATTTGAAGAGAAAGTTAAAGATATTCAAATTAACTTAAAATAGCGTAAATTTGATTTAACTCAGAGAAATTAAATTGTGAAGGTAGACAGAGAGACCAAGATGGTAGACCTCGCAGTAGGTCATCGGTTTGTCTTAGTCTCTAGGATATAGTGTGGGAGAATGTGTTGTATGTAGGAAAACTGGATGCAATGTGTTCTAGTCTTCTTAGCCTCACGCGGTACTAAAGAACTGATGATAACATTTTTTCACAATTATATGAATAGGTCTCGGCTGATTAAAACTCTTAGTACAACTATACTGACATCTTCGAAACTTACTTACTATAAATATATTAGTCAACTATATCTTTCCTATCGAGCACTCTAAAAATAGTAGTTGTGTCTTCTTGTGACTCTTGATCGTTAGCAAGGCGCATTCTCAAATAA